ACCGACCCCGACTGACCAACTAGCTAACTAACCAACCAACTTTACCACTTTTACTGAATAATATTATATTCAGACATCACTCAATCACTGATTTGATCGAAGCCTGATTTATTAATTATGCCGTCCAACCATTCTTCATCTGCATATGGATGAGTACGACGAAAGTGGATGATGAGTCAGTCCCGTGTGATTATTATGCACATAGACTTTTTTCTATTCGACATTCTTTTCTTCGTATCAGTTACTAATTCTTTTGATTTTGTGGAACGATTGTGGTTCTAATAAATATCTCGTGTTTTCTGAGACTCTAGAATCGACGACGAATACGACGACGACGACTCACCCCCACATCAAACCAGATTGACTTGCTCGTTTTTGTATAATTATTGGAATTCCCATCACCATAAATTTCTGGTCTATAGTGCCATTCGATGTGAGTCTTTTAATTGAATGACTAGTAGGCTCAGGTTTCAATAAATGTATGTGCGCGTACTGACCGTAACGTAATCCTGCATGATTATTCACCACCACCAAGTACATGTACAAGACATATGAATGTACAAGACAATTTCATAAGGCTATGCTCCTACTGCACGTATTTATGAATGCATGGGAACTTTACGAACAAAATTCTGATCATTACCAGAAATAATAATAATAATAATAAGCATACGCAGGTAGATGGAAGGAATAAGCAGAAAACCACCTTGTCCTATAGTGACATGAATCCAGACGAATTTTAAGTCGTGCATGCGACGACTTATTTCACAAAAAGAACTTTACCTCAGGGACATTGAATACTAAATATCTCGCAATGAGAAAAGTTGCGACTCTTACGATTAAGGTAATAATAAATGTCACGTAGGTAAAAAAAGGGTTCGGTTCGTTTAGTCGTTCGTTGAAACTATTAGTTATTCAAAGATTCTCATTTTGATACCGGGTTGGAACAAAATTTCGAATAATCTTTGTGAGCATCGACATCATTCAAAATGAGAAAAGAAAGGAATCGAGTCACCACCCACTAAGTGACCCCCTCCTGTTCATCAAGGAGGAGTTGGTTGATTGACACTTTGACACTATGGCCGTTCCAGCCAACTACATAAGGCCATTGTAAAAATGTATTGGACGATACGCACCAACATAAAAAAATAGATTATAGGAAAATTCCTAAACACCAACCCGTTGTTACCCTCATCCATGTTTGAAACTTTTGATTTTTATAATTCTTTGACTAAAAATTACCCCAAGCGATACATAATTTAAAATCTTTCACATCTCTTCCAGCCGTCAATCTCCCAAAACCAAATCATGAGCCAAACCATGTACATACATAGTTGTTCACATTTATGAGAGAATTACCATCAAATTGCTTGTTTTAAATCTACCTTGTGTGGGTAATATTCCCACATGGACAGAAAAGGAAGTGATGACGACGAAAACATTTAAACATCCATTTTTTCCCTTGTGGAAGCAACAAGCTGCTGCTGTTTATCTATCAAGAAAAGAAGGCGACGAAGAAGTATCAATAGCTTATTTGGAGAGAGAGAGAGAGGGAAGGAACCACAAGTGTCATCCTGTAATTGAATGAGAAGAAGCCTAAGTGGGAGCAAGATGAGTTTGCATTGGAATTAGGGAGGAGGAAGAAGACGAAGAAGAAAAAATATCTGTTGAGCCGAGAGTGGGGACGGATTTGAAGGATCACGTCAATTGTGCATCGTTTTACAACGTTTACATAATTCCTCGTCGTCAGTCAGGCAGTTGAAGGGAAGAAAAATAGGGAGACGATGAAAGACCACAAGTTCAAGACGAGCTCAAAAAGTCAACTCCGAGAAAGACACGTCTTGGATGAATTGGCAGGGTGGTGGTGGTGGTGCTGGTGAGGGGGATGGGGTGCTGATTGCGAGAGAAAGTCAAGTCAACCCAGGAAAGACAGCTATTCAATCTTGTTTCCATCAATCCAACCGTCAAAAACGTTAAATACGAAACACATTTTCAGCCCTCATTGCTGTAATTTTGGTCTAAATCGAGCCAATTACTAAGATCCAGAAAGAAATGAGATCACACAAATAATCATACAACCTACCGTAACGGTAGGTATGTAAAGAATGGGATTTTTTCATTTTGCCCCGTCCCTTTAAAAACCTCTCCATTCATGCATGCACGCATAATATTTATCAGCTTGTACTTTCATCCCATTGAATTCACCATCTTCTAGGAAATTCGTTCCCATAATCATGCAAGGCATAAGACAAGCCGACGACAACAACAACAAGGACAACCAGCCAACCACCATTGTTCTTTCAAGAATCGCAACATCTTTTCTCCCATGTAGTCGACTTTGCACGAGCAAAATCTCTACCCTGCTTCTTTCTCTCTGCCTGCATAATAATATTACAGGGAAGGAAGGAATGGCCGTCAAGCAAGATCCCATTTTGCAGCATGTGTGCGAAAATCGATTTTGCTACGGACTTTACTTCTAGCCTTACGTTTAAGAGGGTGAGGAGGCCTTGCACTTGTAAATTTTTCAGTGCAAATGACCCACCCTGATTGAAAAAATGTGCATATATTGTAAAGGATTTATACATTTTTGAATGTCAAGTGCTATCTATCCTTGGACCGAGCAGTGCTGACGTCTTTTAAATAAAATCGTTATTGGTAATAAAAATTGGATAAATGGATGGAATTCTATTTATCCTCCTCTCAAATAATAAATCACATCACTCCCCGATGGATTTACTAATGATACCTGGCTGACGCTGGTTGAGGATTATCCGATAAATTGATATGTGTCCATTGTACGTACAATTTTAATCATTTGAGCGTGATTTAATTTTCACACGTATTGTATTGAATAGAGGCTTCAAAACGAATGATTGATTTATTTATCTGCGGTTACTAACTCCAGCCATTTGCAAACTTCGACTTATTGCAATAAAAAGTTGGTTTTTACACGGTGGAAATGTGCCGTGGGAGATAAGGGGCAAAAGCTGGCACATAAAAGATAAGTTGACTTTGGCCGACAGAAGGACAGAGAGAGCAAATCAGACACAAGTCAATAATAATAAGTCGACCCACCACAACACAGTACACGCGAGTGGGTGAGAGCCTACTCCTGTCTGCTGCCGAAATTATTATGACAAGTTCAATTTCTAAAGATTAGCACTATCATGAGGTCGGTGGGATTAGGCAAGGTCGATATTTAATAATGTGTCCTAACTACTAGCTCGGGAAATTCGCTTCCTCACCAAAAACTATGATATGCACGTATTTATATATGACATACACTACACAAACAGAGAGCAGAGAGTCCATTTCAAACCCTCTAATCTGCTGACACTGGGATAAAATAAAATGTCAGTGTGGGGAACATTCAAGTCAAAAAATATATTTCTGAAAAACAAAACAGAACAGCGACCGAAATAGACGGCGGAATACATGATGCACAGCCAACTCCCCTCGCAAAATTTAATAATGCTGTATTAATTAATACTTTTAATATCGGTAATCAGTGAATGTCATCGCCATAAATTTGCATATCTACACATTTCAAATCAGCCATGGTAAACTGCGTAATAAAATTTACTACTGTTTGCTCTGATTTATTACTTTTTGACTCATAATTCCCAAGAAAGAGAGGAAACTGAGTAAATTCGCTTTAAATGACAATTTTCCTCTCCATATCTACATCCCTCTCGTCATTCATGCTAGCACAATTGCGTGCAACTTATCAGCATCTCATCTCTCAGCTAGGTATACGTTGCAGCAGGGTATGTATTTACAGCTACGAATTTGATTAATTGAGTTGAATATTCTCTCCAGTTAATTAATTTGAAAAAATTCTCTCGTGTCCGATTCACTCGATATCGAAGTGATCAATAACGCCGTGGTGTGGGGGTGTAGGTACACCTCGATACATACATACACACATGTTACATATCTATGATTCCCATTATTTGAATACAATGCTAGAAATGGATTTGATTTCTGATCCCTCCAACCCATCACTCATCCTTTGAGACACTTTGATTAGCGCAACGCCTATACGACATAGTACGGAATCATTAAATCCATACCACTCCTTTACCTACGTACGTACGTTGTTGGCTTTATGTTCATACATCAAAAGGTAAAACCGCTGAGAGATAAGTCGATATTCGACATTTGAAATTGACACGTTGTTTGCCTATTATCGGCTCCAAATACTGTTCGTATTGGTTGGCGATTACGTGTTATGGTTGCGTGTGGATTAGTCTCCGTCGTAATCTACCTGAGTGTTCAATACCACCCGAACTACTCACTCATAAATGTACAACTTATAACAATGGTCGTGGATGATGTCGATATTTTTGACCTCCGCTAATCCCATGATTTCCATACAAAGTGGTGGTGCAATCACTAACTCGAAAAATTCCAATCCAATATACGATAATATTCCCAATGCCAGGAGGAGAGGCAGGCATCACCATAAAATTACCAATAATTATTATTATTTAATAGAAAAAAATGTCCTTGATTTTACGAAATATTGAAGAAGAATACACAACGAGGGAAATGAATAGAATGAGAAATGAACAGAGTGAGAAATAGAAAAGTAGGTACAAAGTGAGACTGATTTTACTGTACCATCTGTGTAAGGATTGAGTGATTGGGTGTGAGCAACATTACTCGTCTCGAGTTTCCCATCCAACAATATCCCAATTTCCCAGCTCAATCCACCCTTCGACAAAACATCCCCTTATTTTCTCCTCCTCTTGGACTTTTCTCTTATATTTTTACTTTCCAACAAAAACAACTGTTATTTCTCACTGATTTCTCCTCTCCGAAAAAACTTTGAAACTTTTTAACACTCTCTCCGCCTACGGATTTTTATTTAATACTGCTGCTGCTGCAAATTATTATATTCTTCGCATTAGGAGATGTTAAACTTGGGTGAGTGGGTGGAGATGGGTGGGTGGGTGTGGTGTAGGTGATAAAAGTTGAGGTAAATATTTTGTGTGTACATGATAAAGTCGATGATGTTGAGCCAGGAAGTCAGAGCTGCCTCTTCCTCTCCATACCTCGTTCCCTAAGTCCCGGTCAGCATGAGAAACCCGAAAAACGGTCCTGAGATTCATTTACCGAACGTGCTTATCACACCAAAACTAAGTCTTCTCCTTCTGCTGCACACCCTGCTGCCAAACCAGTGAGGATGGTTCGACGGGAAAAATTATTCTTACTATTTTTACAATTATACCAGGAATGGTTCACTGATCGGTGTGGTTGTTGGGTCATATTATAACTTTTTTCTCGGGATGTAAACACTTTCTTCTTCTCCAGTAGAACAGTTTCTTATTTTTGTTGTAAGGGAAAGTTGTTGCTGTGAATGAATTCTGAGAAGAAGGAGGAGAAGAATGACGATAATACTTTCACGGAAATACTGTCGGTTTCAGTTTCAGTAATTTTTGTCTTTTTCGAACCAAGTGCTAATTGTAACTAATTGCTGATTTACTATCTACTCACTCTGAATCAATTCTTATCCACTGGACAATTTAACCACCAATATAGTTGCACACTAAAAAAATTGTTATGTCCACTCTCTACACTTCCGTCTTTCCTTCCTTCCTCCTGACCACACCAGAAGAAACAGTGTTACGGTAAAAGTAAGTAAAACCGTTTCAATGTTGATGATGAGAGAGACCTGTGTTGTGTTTTGATTGTCACTTTTTAGCAGCACCCAGCTCAGCCGAATGAATATGTGTAGCTGGTCTAAATTAATCTCATTATCTCAACTTGTCGATTTCTTCTTCCTTCAAAAAAAAGTGATGTACAAATTCCTCACAATTTTTATCCACGCGTTTTATTAAACTGTCTTAAAAGACAAGTCCTCCTATTATCGGACTCTGTTTATGTAGCAGTCCTTACAAAGTGACCGTCCGCTCGTGAGTCAACACACGAGGCTCATCAGAAGGGAACTGACGAGAGATGGTTGGTTTGGTGGTTGTTATCCCACCGCTACAGTGCAGTGGTTGAGAGTCGTATTATACAGAGGTGATGGTGATCTGACTTGTACTCTGCTGCTGATTATTATTACTGGTGGTGGTAGTGGAGAGGTACTGCTTTTTCTGGTACTGTATGTACCTCGTCCCACAGAGGTACTACTCCTTCCACGCCTGGAGAGATCAACGCAACAATGGTGTAGAAATGTTGTTGGGGTGGGGAAGTTGAGACGGGTAGTTTGTGCGAGCCGTTGAGGAGTAGGACATGAGTTTAGCTCGGAGCCAGAGTGAGAACTGAACTCCTCAAGTACGGCAACCAACGTCGTTCGTTTCTCCAATCGGGGTTGTCAATATAGGAACAACTCTCTGCCTGCCTGGCTCTTCTGGCACAGGAAGAAGTGATCCACGGCTGGGAAAAAAGCAGAGTAAGTGACTGACTGACTGAGAGCAGCCCCCTCTCCTTCTCGATGATCTCTCAGGCTGAGAGGAGAGAAGGGGGCCGACCGATCAGTCGATCTGATCAGAAATTGTCTATAGGAAATAAGAAGCGGGCGCATGTCTTGGAACCCGGATTGATTCCCGGATTGGAGGCAAAGACCGACCCAAAGGGTGGAGGATTTGTAACCAAACCCAGCAGCCAAGGCGAAAGCAGAGGACCTAGGAAGGTGCACCCCGGAGAGAGAACGACACAACAACAACACGCAACCCCCACCAGTACCACAACTCACTCTACTCCCAGCCCTCAGCCGTGCTGGAACACGAGGCGACGTCAAGTCCTCCTCCAATCCAGGCCTGACACACCCACTTCAGGGTCACCCGCACTACACACACTACACACACTCACACACTTTGGACGGAAGGAAGGAAAAGAGAGAAAAACCTTGCCCAGCTCCTCCGGGATAAGAAGACTCGTTAAATAGCCAGCCAACATACTTTACTTTTATATAGAATACGCATTCTCTTCTACAAATCTCTCTCTCTCCGTGTGCAAACAGGAAGATAAGTATTGGATAAGATCATCATATTGATCATCGACAAGCAGAAATCATCTCAATCTCGACTCCTTCTCCTGGTCAAGGATTCAAGGGCATTGCATTGATGATGGATCAATCGAGAACCAATTATATTTTGTAATCTTTGAACTTGACGAGATCATTATCATTATCGGTTGATCATATTACCTCAGTTTATTGATTTCGTGTAAGTAGCTCCACTTGGAAACTACTTAAATGTGGCGTGGGATAGAAATAATAAATGGTCAATAATATCTGAGATCTCAATGCAGTCATAAAAATCCCCTGATGACGCGACGAAGAAGAGGGAATATGAGATCAGAATATGTAATTGGTTGGTCGGACCATTTTCATTTCATGAAAGATATAGGATTACTTTAAACTGCTGCCGTCGAGAGCTTAATGATATTTGTCGTTAAAATCAACCATTTATTGCCACAGATCGTATCGAATTACCAATAATTGCCTCATATTGAATGGAATTGATTGAGAGGCATGCAGCCCATGTACATAAGTAAACGTGCATGTACTGATCTACATACGTACACACTCGCCACTTTCTATGATGAATTACTACTACTGGACTCGGTTGTGAATGAAGTAAGTATATAACCTGAGAAGAAGAAGTAGAAGCATTCGTTGAACTTGAGAGATAAGTTTGTCTTATCAGCCACCATATGCACGTTTGTATCACGTAATATGTATGTAACATGTATGATGGTGGTGGTTAAATCATTCATTTTTACACACACCAAATCATATATTATCTATAAGGAAAGTATATGTATGTAAGTTGAGCTTGCTTTATATGGTATTTTTTTCATCCACTGCATTTTCCACGTACCTACACACATAAGTCATTTTACTTTATTAAACGGCGAGTTTTTTTCGCTAATTGCCTAGGTGCTATTTGAGTCAGTTTTTCAGAACGTGTGTACCCGATAAAGTCGGTTCGTTCTTCTCTACGTGTGCACGTATGTACCTATTAAAAACGAAAAGGCATATATTTTAAGATCGGGCAAAGAAACTCTTAAAGAAAAGTTTCGTACGTATGAAACCTGACACCCAGCCAGACTCCGGCCTGTGTATCTCCATCCGTCCGTTATTACTTTACAACTTTTCCACCAATATAGTCCTCCAATAGTCATTTTCTTGATTAAACTAACAAACTTTGGTGTATTATGAGAAGAAGAAGTGGGGAGGAAGAAGTGCAGTCTAATGAGTCGTCATTGCAGGAGGAGGAACAAAAAGTAATGAACAAGGCGAAGAAGAATACGGTTTCTCCCGCACTATATATCCATTGATTGAAATTAACTGCCAAAGTAACATTTAATTAGGACCATAAAGCCTCAATAAAACCATCCTTATGTGAGATATTTGACTTTTGACATCCTCTCTCACTCCTCGCAATAGTGGTCGTTCTCTCTACATTTACAACCCAGTTGATATACGTACATATCCACATACCTCTCAGGTTTTAAGTTGTGTATGCATGCATTCTCTTCTTCTCGTCCTCCGTTATTTGTGATTTGTTGCTGCGCGAATTGTCTGATTATTCTGATTTCTACTACGCTGACATTTATTTTGATATGTTTTCCTTCACGGAGGAACAAATGATCATTTATTTTTGTCATCGAAAAAGGAAACGAACAATCGCATGCATGCATTATTGTCATTATTGTTATTATTTCATGTGTGTGTCTAAATATATGTATGCAAGGATTAAGGCAATTATACGAGCTAAATGCTTGGCTGGTTAGTTAGTTAGTCTTAATATTTAATCATCATGGAATTATTATCCAACGACTTAAGTGACGCGATGGCAATGAAGAAATGCAAGACAATAGGCAACCAATGGATATAGCACTCATTAGCATTAATAATGATAATACCAACCGAGAAGTACGTATCTCTGGTTGGGGTTTTGAAGTGATCAAATTGCAATGAGCAATAATAATATGAATAATAGTGCTTATTGTGACTTTGCTTTTTCCTTGCCTTGTTCCTACAACGCTCTGCTTCCGTCGTCGTCGTCGTCGTCCAACCACTAACTTTTATAATACTCTTAATAATATTTAGTTAGTTAATACGACGACTTTTGTGTGTTTATTCTTCTAGAAAGATGAAATTCTCATGAGTAATGGCACGCTATCCATATTCAATTCTTTTGAGTTTCTTGTCTTTTTGCCCTCTTGTCATGCATGAGTATAATTAAATTCAGAGATAGTGCTCAGGACCCATATAGGTTTCGCGTTCTTTCGTTGGTTCTTTGGTTGACTGATGGAAGGTTGAACGTACATAGCATTTGGTTGCGCTACCTACCTCTTCCATCCACCTCCATGCTGTATAATATATCAAAAAATATTTAAAATATATGTACACCACGCATACCTCTTTTTTTACTCGGATCACAAAAGTTGTCAATTCTAATAATTTTGACTGGTTAATTGCTCCAAGTTGTTGAGCGTAATAATGATAAGTCTGCATGCCACGGTTATGACGACTACAACGCTACGTATGTAGATATTGCTAAACGCTGCAAATAAATAGAGTGCGTGAACCAAAAGAGTGACTGTGCTGCTCCTGTTTTTGTTCATTTTCTTCACAAGACATGCGGTTATTATAGACTATGGAAAAGTAGGAATAAATAATAAGGTGGAGGAATTGAACGGATGTTGGACTAGAGCGCTTCTTGTATGTATACTTTTACCGTCTTGGTTGGATTGTTGCATGGATTCAGTCTCATGACGAGGACAACGACGACGATTGCAACCGAGATTTCAGATGTTGCATGACAAAGACACAACGACGACGATGACGATGACACCACCAACGCTAAGTTTTACTATATCGCCACCACTACATACTTCATACTTTGGGCTACTCTCCACCTTTTGCCAATCTCATTGCCACCCTCTAAAGAAGGAATAGTTTTGTCACTACTGAGACGAGGAGGCTACCTGCGAGCAACCATCAAGCCAATGAAGACACTCGTCGTTGCTCACTCGCAAAAACTGAGTACACTGAACTTGTCTTCGGTCTGATTTTGTGAAATAAATCATTTAGCCAAAAAGATATGATCACCCTGATTTGCTATGCAGATTTCCCAGTCCTTCCAACAACATGCCATCCATTTCAACGGGTAGGAGTGCTGCTGTACATGAAATAAGCTGGTTGGTAGTGATATGTGTAAGCGTTGTTGATGACTGCATGACATTCTTCTCACCCTGTTGCACATCAAACCGAATTATTCCTTTTGCCGTGATGTGCTGCTGCTGCTGCCAAGTCCAATCAAGACGTTGCAAGGAGTTTGGGACTAGTGGCACTTCATAATAATCTGCATTATTACCCAAGTGTTGATTATTAGGAGGAATAATGCTTAGCCTCCACCAACCAACTCTGGGACTACCTCCGAGCCAAGTAATAGCACCACTTTTTCCTTGATAAGTAGATTTAATAGCTAAATGACTACTTGTGCAGCACAATGTGCTATTTACTACTAATAACGATCAGCATTTAATAAATTATCAGATTTTTCAACTTGACTAACAATAAGAAAAAGTGCGACCATCCGAACAAAATCGTATAGAACATACTTCTCAGGCAGGCAGGCAATGTAACAATATACATACATACACGGATAATTCCATTATTATGATACGTGTGCATAGCTATACCACGTACCTACATAAGGCGTCATCTCCATGAGCACAACAATTTTTCCGCTACAAGAGCTTAACAAGACAAAGAATTAAGTAAATCAGAGAAGGACTTTATGTTCTTTTGGGCCAGAGAAGAACTTTGTCAACCAGGCAGCAGCATCTTCGTCACACGGAGAGCAAGGCGTAATCCCGAGAGGAAAGACTTTCATTATTTTTTCTGGCAAATCCTAAATTTATGATTATGAAGGAGCCGAGTTGGGCAAATCAACATTTTTTCCCATTATTCCCTCAACTGCACTCACCTATATCGTGCCGGTGTTACGACATATTTTCATATTTTCATTCCCCATCTGCACAGCAAGTCTTAGAGACATTAAACGGGAGGAGGAATGAGAAAGAGTTCTTTAAACTCATCTTCTTCTCTTCTGGACAATACTAATGAATGCAAAGTTGCTTTGATGGTATGACATATTATCGTCTACAAATGAGAAACAAGATTAAAGTCTGTATGATTTCTTAAGTGGATTATTTACACGAGTCGTCTCTCTCCAAAAAACTACCTGAAGAAAATCTCGCATTTCCAACGAAATTAAAAAAACAACCCGACTCACTTACCGTTCTCGCTCATTCCATTATTTATCTTAGAGGGATAATGATTTTAGAGAGAACGTTAACAAAGCGGACACAAAGTCAAGAGTTAGTCCGTCCACC